AGAGAGAGAGAGAGAGAGAGAGAGAGAGAGAGAGAGAGAGAGAGAGAGAGACAGACAGACAGACAGACAGACAGACAGACAGACAGACAGACAGACAGACAGACAGACAGACAGTCAGACAGATAGACAGACACAGAAAGAGAATGTGAGTGTGTGTGTGTGTGTGTGTGTGTGTGTGTGTGTGTGTGTGTGTGTGTGTGTGTGTGTGTGTGTGTGCGTGCACGCGCGCGTTTGTGAGTGAGTGTGTGTGTGTGTGTGTGTGTGTGTGTGTGTGTGTGTTTGCGTGTGTGTATGTCCATCTTATAGAGTACTGAGTGTCTGTTTGGCGCTCCCTATCTTTCTCCCTCCTGCCCTCACCTCTTCTTTCTCCCCCTTCTCTCCCTGTTCTTAAAATATGAGTGTTTCAGTGGCGGTGGGTGGACCATGATTTGGGTGGGGCTTAGGTTTCTTCCACTTCTTTACCACCAAAAAGCAAGCAATAATAACAAAACAGTTATGATTTTTCTGTACTCACGGCGAGCCACGGCATTTTGAGAACCATTCAAACGAGAAGAGTCACCTTTGTCTTCCATCTCTTTGTTCTGATTAAATTTAAGCTCTTCTGGGTGGTGGGGACGAAGCCGTTCCACCTCCAAATTTCTCTAATTAGTTTTTATCTGAAGAAAAAAGTTGCCTCAAAAGTGGTTTGATGTAATTAATAACTGTTAAATCTCAGCGGCACAAACACACAGCACTCCAAACACATACCGTCTATGAGGTGGGTTGGGTCGTGTTGTTGCGGAAAATAGAACGCGCCTAACAAAGGCCCGATGGGCGCTTAGGTATCTGTGTCACTGGGGGAAAGTGTGTCGTAAACTTTCACCCCATTGTCAAGGCTGGGAGAGTGTGAGCCCTCTGTGCAGTGTTATTTTAAAAAAAAGTCTTCCACCTTTTTACATGAAGAGTTTCATTACAGACGGGCGTGGGAACCGGCTTATTCTTTTTGAGCCCTAACGACATTTGATTGGCTGTTAGGTTACTATAGTTGTAAGCGGTGACAACAACGATTGGATAAACGGGCCACCAAGCTGATAACTGTGTGTTCATTGTGTGCGATCATAACGGTTTCAACTGCTTATTTCGTTATTTAAGAAACTTTCATTAACTAAGGGGTAGAGTTGGGGTGGGGACGGGGTGGGGGTGAGGGGCTCAAGCCCGTAAGCCCTTCACTACCCACCGCCACTGGAGTGCGCGCGTGTGTGTGTGTGTGTGTGTGTATGTGTGTGTGTGTCTGAGTGCGCGTGCGCGTAAGCTTCAAGGGTACTTAAACAAGCAGTCAAGTGCCCAATTAATCAGAAGGGTCACATACATGCACTTTACTTTGTGTCACTGATTATGCCAAAACTATCATTGCGTTACCGATACGTTTTCATCACATCATTTTTTGCTTAACCTAAACTAGTGCAGGTGTATTTTCGCCCTAATCGACATAATTTAGATAATTAAGGAGGCGGGCTTCTGATCCTGCCTGTCAGGGTCAACCCCGGCTGAGAGGGATACAACATCCCAGCAGGAAGACAGTGACAGACGATTAAAATTTGTCCCCGCTCGGGAATCGAACTTATGTCTCCAGAACTGACTGCTACACCATAGACGCCGCTGATATTTTCATGGTGTCGAAATGGACAATAAGAAACCGAGTCCTACAATACAAAGTACAAAGGGCACTGTTGAGAGCGGAGAAAGAGAGCGAGAGAGCGAGAGAGAGAGAGAGAGAGAGAGAGAGAGAGAGAGAGAGAGAGAGAAGAGAGAGAGAGAGAGAGAGAGAGAGAGAGAGAGAGAGAGAGAGAGAGAGAGAGAGAGAGAGAGAGAGAGAGAAAGGGGGGGGGGGATCTACCACATATACTCCCAAAACACACTCATGTTACACGTTTTAAGTTTGACATTTATTGGCCGGAGCCAGAATAAAAAAAGAGCAACTAACTTCCTGTGCGACAAGCCCAAAATACGTCAGCCGTGATATTTGCCAGCTACAATCGGGGCCACAGTATATCATTACTATCATTACTTCACCTACAGTTGACACTTGTCAGTTGACAGTTGCCAAAAGTGCCTTTACCTCTCTCTCCCTCCCCCTCCTTCTCCCCCACCTTGACAAAAACAAAAACAAAACGAAACACCCCCTCTCCTCCAATACACTTTTCCCTCAAAGGAAAGAAGGGGATATATATAT